GCAGATTCCCAACTCTGTGACTCCATAGAAGATATAATAGATGAATCGAGATTCGAAGGATTGTTTGTAAATACAGGCGCCGTAGAATTTATGTTATGTGAAGATGTAACAAGGATAACGGGTTTAGTATCTCTAGATTCAATATTTTTATTGTTTTTTATCTCTTTAATGCTTTTTATATTGTTCTTAAGACTTTTATTTTTACGTCTCCTCTCATTCTTATTTAAAGTGATAGTATCGTCAGCGAATTCCCTACTCTGTGACGCCATAGAAGGTACAATAGTCGGCAAATAGTGCCCGCTCTCGCGAGCTGTTTCTACATTAACTTTTAAAGTGATAAATGCATTAGGTGCTCTCGCGGGAATTCTGTCATTAGGGAACTTTTTAGAGATATCGACCGTTGGGGGGAATTTGGGTGCAATCATTATATGATTTTGTCTTGTCTAGGCTCAGAGGACATCTGGGTGTCTTTTATGCTCCTAATGCGTGTCACAGATTTGGATCGGGATCCGATAACATGGATACGTAACATGACAAATTTAGGATGCCTATGATTAGCTAATGTAAATCAATTGCCCGGGTACTTAATTTTACACTTAATTTATACACCCGGGTACTTAATCATGTGCACAGGTATGTACTTACTTAATTTACCCGGGAACCTAACAAAAATTATATGTAAAAATAATCAAAAAATGATCACACTTAGAAGGCAAAAGTTTTAGTCTTTTATGGCTATATATATGATTTTATACACTTGGTCTGTAAAAAAAAAAAAAAACAGATCCATACAACGTTGGTTTATTTAAAAGTGTTTTACATGGCTGTTAAAGGATTAAATTATAACGTATTATAGCGCGACCATTATTAATCATGAGCATTACATCATTCATATTATAAATTACTTTTTTTTTCGATATTCATGTTTGTTTTATTACCGTACCAACGTGAGTTCTTCTAATATTATCATACTAGTATATTATATAGTTATTTCAACATGAGCTAACGATAGTCTTCAAGTTTTTATAAAAATATAACCCGGTAGAAGTATAAATATTGTTTAATTAGATAACAGGAGATAATTGTTAATATCCTGCTTTAAGCATACTCCCGACTCAAATGGTTTAGCCCAGAATTTAGCTAGCTTGGCCAATAGGAATAATCGTTAGCTGCAATTCAGGTCGCAAAATCCCCTTAAATAGATGGCAGGAATTCAGTTTTCCGCGAAGTATAGAGATTCCTTATAATTCCACTATTTTTAAAAATGAAGTTAACAAAATTTAGCATGTAATATGTACCAAAATAAAAAATAGCCTGTTCATTACGTAGTTAAAAATAATTTGTATACTAAAAAATCAATTATAAACCTAATTTTATATATGATTAGCTTGTTCAAGTCATATGTGCAATTTTGTGAATAATTTGATAACTTTATCTGCAGGCGCACATTCATGTTATATGATGTTAATATTAGCTAATAAGAAAATCAATTAATCCTCCGCCCCGACTTGATCATTGACGGTTCGTTGATTACCTGTTTTATACCTATGGTTGTACATTAAATTTGACGTAATTTTTATTTATACCTGATCGACGGTAGATCTTATTTGTACAAGTTATGTAATTCCTTTCTAGTGTCATGTGAATAAAAACAATGCAATTTTGGATCGGGTACCCAGTTCAAAGAAGCTACGGGGCATTTTAATGGCGTCACCAACCTCGCTAACTGGTCAAATCAAAATTTCAAGATCAGAAGTAACATAAAATCCAACCCAAAAATACACCCAGAGGTTAGCACAGTAGCAGGGACAGTGATTTTATGCGATGACAAAATCCAAATTATGTGGTAACAAAATTCAAATTATGTGATTTCATGTGAAAAATATTTGACAAATTATGTGTGATTCTGTGGTATACTTGGCCAATTTATGTGTTATTCTGTGGCATACTTGGCCAAATTATGTGCGGTTCTGTAATATACATGACCAAATTTGTTGGAACTTTTCGGACTTTATTTCGAAAATTTTCATGATCTTGCTCGTAATTTGGGTTCATTCTCATTCAAATTCTATGTCGGGAGGTACCGGATCCGTTAAACTTTTATTTATTAACTATTCAATAAATTGCCAAATTATGTGTTAATTCCTGTAAATTGCCACGTTATGTGCCATTGTGATAATAGTAGTGAAATTTTTATGCTAGGGTTCTAAAAGTATACACAGGCTAACTTTGATCATTATGACAATAAGGCAGTGCTGGGAATTGGACATGTCCAATTAAATTTTTTAATTGGACAGTTTTGGACATGTTCAAAACTGTCCAAAACTATTTAAAACTTTTTAAAATATTTTAAAACTAGCAATATACTTGTGTTTCTAATAAAAGATGTAAAGAAGGTTACCCCAATTCTAATAGCAGTAAAAATGTATAAATTGGTCTGGTGAATCATGGGATATATGTAAAAAAAGATTCATAATTTTTTTAAAGTTTTTTTAAAATTTTTTTAAAAAATTTAAAGAAACTTTAAAGAATCATAAATTTTTTTTTACATATATCTCATGAATAACCAGACCAAATTTATATTTTTACTATTGTTAGAATCAGAATAACCTTCTCTATAACTTTTATTAAAAGTATAATTAAAA